CCCCCTAGGCTTTCCGTGTGTCTTCTAGGCTCGAACCGCGTCGTTCACTGAGTTCACGTCGTGAATGCAGTCAAATTCTCGAAGTTTGTGCTCCGAACTTCAAAAATCCATATCTTTTGTATACGAGCTCCGTTTTTGACGTTCTTTATATCCACGCGTAGGTGAGATTATGCTCTACATCTTTCATTTAGACTCCGTCAGCTAATTGTGAATTTATTTTTAATATTATATTAATATTATATTTTTAACGGGCCGAGACAGGAAAAGTCCGTTAAAATTTCATAACTTCTTCATCCGACATCCGTTTCCGTCTGTCTTTTTACCGTTGTACTACTATTAATGAGACATTCGATTCTCGTTTAGGTTGTGTCGGCTAAAAATCACTCGATCTTTATTTCGAGTTTTTAGCTGTCTACTGCTATACCGAAACTTAGAAAAATCATAACTTCCTCATACGAAGTCAGATTTAGACATTATTTTTATGAAAGTTCTCGGTTTAACGAATACTATGACTTTTATTTAGATCATAAGGGCTAAAAAGTAGTTTATCGAAAACTCACTTTTTACGTCATACGGCGTCGTGCCGGTTCTGTCGCGAAACTTCAATAAGTCATAACTTCTTCGTTATAACTCAGATTTCGATGAGGTTTTCGCCTAAACATTTCTAACAAGATTCTTTACAACTTTCAATAACATTATTTTTACTTATTTCAAATTTTATATTTTCGTTAAATTTCAATATTTGACTTTTGATTTGAATCTCATAAGACTTCCAATATTTTCCGAGCGATTCTAAACATAGTTTTACTTCATTTATAGTAAAAACTATCTGTTAGAACTCAACGCTCAAATTCATATAATATTTCATTATATTATTCATATTTAAAATTACATAACACGATAACTGAACGTGTATGTTACATTAAATATGAGCCAAAACCCTAAAAATTAGGGTTGCATGATTTCCATGTACGTCCTGCGTTCGAGGTGTACGCCCAACGTACTAAGGCGCGCCCTAGTACGCTTAGCGTACACACGTACACACAACGTACTCCTCAAAGTCTAAATTTAGCAAAATGCCACTGTAGGCCCTTTTTGCACTCTTTCTTAAACTTAGGGACCAAAATACAATATAATTCAATTATAGGGTCAAAATTAGAAGTACCTCATAATTGGGATGTTACATAATTTTCAATGAACAAGATTGTCACATATTATACAATTCGAATTATACGAATCCAAGTATATGTTCAATAAATTGGTGATGATATTTCTTTTCACTTGGTCAATTATGACAGTACCACAAGCGCGATATCATAAGAATCAAATCTACAATTAACATTGCTATTATTAGAAACATAATTAACACACTCATTAATGTCATTGCAAAGAAATATAAAATAAGGCAACCATATAATCCAAAATTCACTTTTATTAACTAAAGAGAAAATTGGAACTTGTCCTTACAATGCCTAAAATGAAAAACTGTTTTTCTATACATCTTTGAAATAGTAATAACAATCTATTAAAATTATCCTAACTCCTTAGTAGTAACTCTAAATTTTGACCATCGAACTATGCGATAAAAGTCCATTTCCCACGATCAGATTCAGCTCATTTTGCTCAAGCTTCATTATTTCTTTTAGATCCTGCAATACCATTAAAATGTGATCATCACATTATGTATTAAGATTCTAAGAATAGGAACTTGTTAAAATAATGGACTTAGATAATGGATGTACCTGAAGTAAAGTCACACGACTTGACTTTACCATCTTCAAGATCCTTCAGCTATTTTGGGCAGCTTTATTTCCAATGTCCCTTCAATTAGTAGTAAAAACAAATGGACTCATTGGGGTCAATATGGGAAACGATCTTAGAATCAGCATTTCTCTTTACCATATGATCAAACAGTTTGACCTTGGTTGATCCCTTTCGATTGGGAAGAGAAATCTTTTCTAGATTACCAATATTAACATTATCAATATCCATGGAACTCTTAGGATTAGACCCTATAGGTATTTATGCTTCAGTTGTGTTCTGAAGCATTTTTGCTTCAGCAACTATCAATATATGGGTCAGATCAATTAGGGTCACGTCGAGATTCCTCACATGAAAGTTCTTAACAAACTGACCATATGACTTTGGAAATGACAGAAGAACCATACTTTTAATCTTTCATGTCATATCAAACCCATTCGGCTAACGAGCCTCCACCACACAAAGAAGCGGTAGGTGAAAAGGACATCCATTCAGTGGTCATTTTATAGGTCGTTTCCTTATACCTCTATTAGAGTGTGGCTTCTTGAATGAGGCATACTATTGATTCGACTGACTTTTAGTTATACATATAGTATTTAAACATTTTATATTTGTATAGGGTGTCTTTTAAACTTTTTAAAACACAAGGTTTCATATTAATTATTTGAATTAAACATTTACTTAATTAATCTATAAACCAATTATGGATTTAATATTTATCTTTTAATTAATCATTTAACTAAATGTGTTATTAAAATCCATAAGGATAATTCAATTTAATTATCTTATAATTAAAAATTATATTTCCATATTTTATCTCCTCAAAATCCAAATTAGAGTTTTAATCATATTTTTTGAATAAAAATTTGGATTTTAACAGTTTCAAAACAGATAATCACTCAAAATTAAACCTGCATTCGGATTAGGTAGATAAGGGCACGAAAAATGAAAAAATTGAAAATCGCGGTGCGTCTTTTTTCGATTTTCTTTCGATTCATCTCATGTACAATCAATTGTAAGACCAATGCTTTGATACGACTGATGGAATTTTAAGGTAACGAAAAAATCATGTACTTGCATAAATTCTCTTAAAACTTAAGGGTGCATGCAACCTAAGGATCTATGTCTTCAGACATTGAAAGCAATATACAATGAACTAGAGGAACCCTAGCTATAATCAAAATGACTAGAACTAGGGTTACATAAATTTGTATTGTTATAGCAAACAATACCCTTGAATCCTTCTTTGAACTTCAGAAAGCAAGCACCAAAAGTACGATGTTTCTAATGGCTCGCACTCAAAACCCTAGAAACCCTAGAATGAAGATGAGAGAGATGAGAGATGAAGAAATTTCGTTCATATGCCTCTTAAGAATGTTATATACGAAATTTGCAAGCCAATGAGTCTTATTTATAGTTTAGGTAACTTGCAGATGAATCCAGATTTTAATTAATTAAATAATAGATTTAATCCCAGTTCAAAATCATTTCTTTATTTGCAATCAGAAGGCTTCCAGAAACCCTAGAAACACCTCCAAAACCGTCCATACCGTGGATGGTTCTAGAATTGCTCCTTTTGTTCAACTATTAAACAATTACAATTCACATTTTGCACTTTTAATTCATTCTAATTAATCCCGAATTAATTCTGGATTAATTGTGATTCAAAATTAGTTAATTCTTATTGACTTCATATTAATTTATTAACCATATAAATTAACAAACCAATTATTTAATCATTGATCTCATATTAATTTATTAATCATATAATAAATTAAAAATTAATTATATGTTTCTAATTAATATATTAATCATATAATATATTAACAAATCATTTCTTCTCTCTCTCCTGATATCATTTCTAGTTATTTCTAGTTATGAGGGCAACCCAAAAAAGGACTTTGCTTATAATTACAAGTATATACCAATTTAGTCATGAGCTTAGACACCTTAATCCAACAGTGCCAAGGACCCCTAAATTACAAGTAAAAAAAAGGAATGGTCAAGATGAAGGTGATACTAGCATGAAAAAGGGAAAGGGTCAAGATGAAGGTGATAGTAGCATGAAAAAAGGAAAAGGTCAAGAAGAAGGTGGTATTAGGATGAAAAAATGAAAAGGCTTAAGATGAAGGTGGTAGTTCCAAAAAGAAGGGGAATGGTCAGCAACAACAGGGTAAGCTGAAGCTAAGGAAAAAACCAGAAAGGATAATTAAGATGAAATTGGCAAAAAAGAGTTGAACGTAAGGATGGTGAAGGGGATAGCTCATCGAAACCAATGGACTTGGATTAGGATTGAAATGATGTGTTGTGTATGAGGGAATGTGTTACCGATTATTTTCTTTTTTAATTGTGGACAAGTTTCTATGTTGATGTGTTTTAATTTGTTATTGACAATTGCATAATGTGAATGTTTGTTTGTGGTTATGAAACAAATATAACAATGTACTTTACTATGAATGTTGAAACTTTACTAAGAATGTTGACACTTGCAAACTGGATCAACACTATACAAATATAGCAATGTAATTTACTATAAATATTGACACTTTACTAATAATGTTGACACTTTACTAATAATGGTGACACTTGCAAACTGGATCAACACTGTACAAATATAGCAATGTACTTTACTATAAATGTTGACTCTTTACTAAGCATGTTGACACTAGCAAACTGGATCAAAAATGTACAAATATAGCAATGTAATTTACTATAAATGTTGAAACTTTACTAAGAATGTTGACACTTGCAAAATGGATCAACACTGTACAAATATAGCAATGCACTTTACGATAAATGTTGACACTTTACTATGAACGTTGACACTTGCAAACTGGATCAATATTATACAAATATAGCAATGTACTTTACATATTTGCATTCTTTAAAACCACACTACCAAATCAATCAACAAAATGCATTTAGAAAAAATGAACACGGTTGTATATACGAAGTTGATATTATAAGAAAACATTAGTAAATAAGAACTAGATTTTATTTCATTAATCCAAATGGCCATACAAACATTAGAAATGAGGTTATCGTCTAACCAAAAAACCCCCAAAAAGATGTTCTAAAAACCCTAAAATCGCCAAAAGTGACCACTGATCCAAACAACCAACAACAAACATACCATAATACACATTTTATACCATACAGATGGCAAAATTAGACAAAAACAAATTACACACATCAAAAACCCTAAAAACACTAAAATCGTCATCCATCTACCGACATAACTACACCCACCAAAAACCCCAATTAGTGACATAGAAGTAACCACATATCCCAATCATTAACACCACTGCAACTCCAATCACAGCCATCACAATCACAATCTTTTTCAACAAAACGATTTCAACCATTATCTCACCTAGCTGGTGTTGCATGGCATCTCTCATTTTCTCAAGTTGCACCTGTGTTTCCATGGCGTGGAGCTCGTAATCAGTTGGTATGTCTAGGTCCGATTCTCTGAAACCAATATACGAGAAGCTTTGTTCTGAAGCCATTTTCTTGATTTGTAGTAGCAAAAAAGACCATACTCGTCTTGTACAACAAGTTTCAATTAGGGTAACAAAGTGGGTGGGAAAAATTGATTTAATGTAAGTTTTAATTTATAAGGGGGGCCATCAGCTTTAGGCCTGACAATCGTGTCGTGTTCGGGTTGGTGGGTTAAAATATACCAACCCAAACACGACCCATTTAATTATACAGATCACGGGTTGGCGGGTTTGGAACATAAACTCATATATGACCCGTCAACCCACTTATTTATACGGGTTCACAGGTTGGCGGGTTCGTGGGTCAAATTTGGGTTCGTGGGTCAGATTTGGGTTCGTATGTTCGTGGGTCGGATTCCATAAATAAAATTGATAATTAAACATGAACAAATTCTTGATGCAAACATATCCGAATTTTAGAAACTTAAGTCTTAAACATCCAAATGAAAATTAAAAAACATTCATGGAAACATGTTCAAACTAAAACATTGATACAAACATAAATAAATTCAATCGCAGGTGACGACATCGGTTGATAATAATTCAATCGTTCATGTCGTCGTTCTTCTGAGATACTGAGATTATTTGGGGCAAACGCCAAACACGTTGCAATGCAAACCAGCAGATGATTACTCACGGGTCAAATGGTCAATGATATTGGGTATCCTACAGGGACGGACCCAAGATTTTGTAGTAGGTGTTGCGGGTGGCACATTTTTCCTTTTAAGTAGTGGCACAAATATAGAAAAAACGAAAAATTCGAAAATTTTTACACTGTATTCGAAAAAATAAGGGGTTGTCGGTGCCACTATGGGCACCATAGTGGAACCGTCCCTGGTATCCTATCCTAGTATACAGTATAAACTGTATAGAGTATAATACTTAATACATTAAAAAATATATAATTTTTTTTATTAAAATACTAAATAGGTTGGAGGGTCAACCCGTATATTTTTTGAGAAACTCATATATGGCCTGTTTAATAAACAGGTTGACGGGTTGAAAAACTCAACCCAAACCCATTTATTTCGTGTTGTGTCGCGGATCGTGTAGAGAATTTAGCCTATAATCTTGGGGGCCAAGGGAGGAACGATGGATGCCGATTCACCTTTCATTCACTTAAAAAAAAAATTGAGTGATTTTTAAAATAATTGAATTCCTTGAGATAAAATGACATTAGCCCTAAAAAAATTGCTTTAAAAAAAAAGGTTACAAGGTGGGATTCCCATTTGTTCGGTTCCAATATATGTATCTTTCTTGAACACCCGTGGACTATTAATCCGAAACAAACTAATTTTGATGTGACAATAAGTTCTTTAAGAGCTTCAGTTAGTTTTGCCCAGGCATGTCGGTTGATTTCGGGATTCTCATAAGTCATAACAACTGAATTTGAGGCAGCAGGTTGCGAGTGAGTAGCTTTCATACCATTCTACGTTATTATCTTTCCCTTTCAACAGAGTGTTTCCGCAAATCCCAACTGCCTTATTGGTGCTCTTAAACTTGTATGCATGTCACTAGTCAAATGTTGCCGAAGCTACCAATCAACCTCCCGCCCCATCTTAGTCTCAAACTCATCAAAACTTACTGTGATTCCGGTGATCTACGACGTGCCCGCCAGCTGTTTGATAAAATTACCAGCCCAGATTTGCATTCATGGACGACGTTAATATCAGCTTACACACGACATGATCTCCAAAAAGTAGCTATTAATCTGTACACCCGGTTGAGGGACATCGGATTCCAACCCGATAGATTTGTACTTCTGTCAGTTGTCAAGGCTTGTTCCACATCTGGAGATCTTATTCAAGCTCAGAGAGCTCACAAAGATGCTGTCATGTTTGGGTTTCATCATGATCTTTTGTTAGGGAATGCAATGATAGACATGTTTGCAAAATGCAAGCATCTTGAAGGTGCCAAAACAGCTTTTAACGATTTACAGGTTAGAGATGTAATTTCTTGGACATCGATCTGTTCTTGTTATGTTAGTTGTGGGTATCCCAGAAAGGGCCTTCAAGCCTTTAGAGAGATGAGGTTAGATGGAGTAAAACCCAACTCGGTTTCACTTTCTTCAATCCTTCCTGCTTGTTCTAATTTAAAGTGTTTGGATTTAGGTAGAGAAATACACGGATTTGTGGTGAAAACTGGAATGGGAGCAAATGTGTTTGTGAGTAGTGCACTTATACATATGTATGCCACTTGCTTATGCATCAAAGAGGCTGAAATGATATTCAATCAAATGGTTAATAAAGATATTGTGTCTCATAATGTAATGATATCAGCATATTTTGAGAATGGAGAACCCGAAAAAGCAGTATCCATGTTCAAAAAGATGAAAGAAAATCATTCCAAGTTAAATTACGCATCATGGAATTCCATTCTCTCTGGATGCTTTCAATCTGGACAAACACAAGAAGCATTAAACTTACTTTCAGAAATGCAAGAATCAGGATTCAAACCCAATCAGATTACATTGACTTCTGTGTTGACTGCATGTACAAATTCAGAAAGCTTGAGGGGAGGTAAGGAGATTCATGGTTACATCTTTAGACACTGTTTCTTGAATGACACAACTGCCTTAACAGCTCTTATCTTCATGTATGCTAAATGTGGCAAATTTAAATTCTCTCAAAAAGCATTTGAGATGATGAATACAAGAGACACGATTGCTTGGAACACAATGATTATAGCAAACTCAATGCATGGAAATGGAGAAGAAGCATTAACTCTCTTTACTCAAATGTTAAAATCTGGTGTGAAACCGAATGCGATTACTTTCACAGGTGTTCTTTCTGGTTGTAGCCACTCAAAGTTAGTAGATGAGGGTCTTTCTGTTTTCAACTCAATGAGTAAAGTTCATTTGATTGAACCAGATGCTGAACACCATTCATGTGTTGTAGATGTTTTGAGTCGTTCAGGTAGGTTAGAAGAGGCGTATAAATTCATACAAAATATGTCAATAAAACCAACTCCTTCTGCTTGGGGAGCTTTACTTGGTGGATGTAGAGTGTATAAAAATGTCGATTTAGCACGAATTGTAGCAAAAAAACTATTTGAGATTGAACCAAACAACCCCGGGAATTATGTTTTGTTATCTAACATTCTTGTGAATGCTAAACTATGGGGAGAAGCTTCAGAAACTAGGAAAGTAATGAGGGATAAAGGAATGAAGAAAGAACCAGGTTGTAGTTGGGTACAAGTTAAGAACAAGGTGCATACTTTTGTGGTTGGAGACAAGAGGAATGAACATAGTGATGATATTTATAAGTTCTTGAGTGATATGGGTGATAAAATGAGGCAAGCTGGATACTTGCCTGACACAGAGTTTGTTCTTCAAGATCTTGATGGGGAGGAGAAAGAGGACACGTTGTGTAATCATAGTGAGAAACTTGCTGTTGCGTTTGGGATTATGAATTTGAAAGGTGAATCGGAGATTACAGTGTTCAAGAATTTGAGAATTTGTGGGGATTGTCATAATGCTATAAAGTTTATGGCGAAAATTGTTGGGGTGAGAATAGTTGTGAGAGATTCTTTGAGGTTTCATCATTTTAGAGATGGGTTTTGTTCATGTAATGATTTTTGGTGATTAATAATCAAATATGATAACATTATTATAAGAATTCTTGATAATATACATTGAGCACAAAATCAGAATCAAGAAAACAAATAAAAACAAATACATTGAGTTAAATATCACTCCAACTGAGCATACCAAACACCTTGAATTTTAACATCTTTAGGGACTTTTGCACCCAAATCAGTATCGGAGGGCTGAATGCTCTCAAACACTCCGATCACTTCACCGGTGTCCGGTTTGGTTGAGGTGACACTCAAGGTGATCTTCCCTGTTGACGCTGCAACGTTCTTTACATTTTCTTTGGAAAGCTCCTCTTCATCTCCTCTCCCACCCGCCGGTAAAGCAACGGCGTTGTCATACCCGGTGGACCCACCTCTGCCCTTTGGGTCGAGAAACGAAGACCCTCTGTACGACGGGACTAGGAATTCCCCACCGAAGCTTTCCGGTTTACCGGAGGCGACAAGTTGTTTGATCGTGAACAGGAAAGGCACACGTTCACCTCCGGGAAGCTGAACAGTGACGGCAGCGTAGTCAATTCCGTCTTTCTCTTCGAATTTGATGGTGCCATCGGAGGATACTTCGAGAGGGCCCTCGATTTCATCGAGGGTGTAGGTCAATCGGGTCATGAGTTTGGTTTTTTGGAACTCCGGTGTGGAGTTCTTGCTTACGCCATCGGCTTTGACAGTGAACGACGTCGGCTCTAAGCAAAATTTCTTGGCGTTGTACTTGCCTGGTTTGACGGCGAAGCCGTCGACTCCACCTTCGATGGTTGGGCACTGGTTAGCGGTGCCTGTTCCTTTGACTTCCATGTAGGTCTTACTTTGGATTTCATCGAATGTTAGCCTTTTAGGGCTTCCTTCAGCGCTTGCTCCCTGTTATAATTAACGATTACAATGATATTGTAAGTAGAGGAGTAGGTAGAATTTGGATGATGATGATGATAAGATGGAGAATAAAAACCTACTGAAACGACGAGGGCGGAAGTTGCGAGAGCGAAGCCGGCGATTTTAGCAGCGTCGGCGCATTTGTGAGCGAAGTCCTTGAGATCGGATTGAAGGGAACAGGTGAGTTTGGCTCCGGGTGACTCGACGCCGAAGGCCTTGCAGATGCTCTGAGAAGACTTGAACTGTAACCGGCCGGAGACGCCAACCTTGGTTGGCTGCATGAATGTTGCAGCTGCTTGTAATGAGGCTGCCATTGTTGTAAGTTTGCGAACCCCACTTCCCCTGTGTCTGTTGTGAACTGTGATTGTAGTGACTACTTGCAGGGAATTGGGTTGAAGTAGGAAAGGGATTTGTGTGGTGCATGGGAAATACTTGACTTGATTGGAGGAAGATAAATAGATAGGATAAGGTTGTGTTCCATTGGATGCTCTGAGTTACTTTCTATGGTGTTGTGCATTGCCATGTGGTTTGTAGGACTTGGAAATTCCTTTGCAACATATTTTAATTTTAATTCATAATGTTTTCCTTATGCAGCAACCAGGTTTTTACTTTTTTTTAATCATGCTGTAAATCTTTTTATTCAATATTTTTGTCTTTTTATTTGATGTTGGTTAGAAAAAATTATTACAATCAAGTTGATGGTATTAATTTGGATACAAAGTGTTCTTTATATATATATATATATATATATATATATATATATATATTTTTTTTGGAATGAAATTTTAAATAGCTGATTTTTGTCGGAAGGAAAATGTGAATTTTGCGATTGATATGATCTGTGGTAGAACATTGTTGGACAGGTTACCGGACACATTTTTATGGATTCATTGGGAATAACATCAATCTTTGAGAAATTAAGGGCATGTTTGGTTCATGGTTGTTACTTGTTTCCTCCATTAAAGAACGCATTGCTTGATAGAAAACATTTTTTTTTTGTAGATAAAGGTTTGTGAAGTTATAATAATCAAGTAAATTAAACCTTCAATCATATTTGCATTTTCTGTTTAGCTGATAAAATAAGCTCCACAAAATAAAATAAGATAAATATATATAAACCACCAACACGAATAGAATACCCTCCTATCCTCCTGTCAAATAGGGAGAGAAACCAATCAATTTGGAAGTCAACCAAGATCCAGGCCTATGTAAACGACAACATCACCATGTATTACCTGTAGTAGATGTACTAGCAGCAACAGCAGCAGTGGTGGTGGTTGTGGTGGAAGTAGACGCCTTCTCAGATGAAGCAACAACCACCCCAGGCCATGAACGACACATGCAATGCTTACCTTCCTCTATACTCCCATACAAAATCTTCAAATGCTCCCCACAACCACCCCACCCATACTTTCCACACGTGTTGCATTCCACCCTGTAACACATTGTCTCACACACTCTTTCTGCCTACTCTCATCTCTTCCTCAATTTATACACTCATAGGAACTTTGGTATCATCTATGCATTCATACACTGAGGCCTCGTATTGAAAATAACGATCCTCATTGCTCATTGTTTTTAGTCAACATAGACTCATGGAACCCCGAAAAGGTACCCTAGCTAAGATCCAATTCTATATTCAATGTGTGATGTGTCTTAACTCTTAACTCTTATACATGATTAAGATTGAAAAAAAAAAACAAGAAATTACACAATTTATTAGAGTTCACTGTACAATGTTGCCTAACAAACTATTAGTCGAGGGTGAGCTCTGTTCACTTAACCACGGGTCCCGCACAGACACCGGTGACGTATCTTTCTCCTTTGACTTAGTCAAACAATTCGATATCATCTGTGGGACCACTAATTTCCGGCTTCCTACACCCGCCACCGAAGAAGAAGAGGTGACTGATAATGGTGTCATGCTGACATCATCCTCACCACTCATTCTAATCATCTCCAACTCATCTGCAACTTCTGTCATTGAAGGTCTCATGTCTCCATGAAAAGCCAAACACCGAAACGCCAGCTCAGCAACCTTGTGAACTGACGAAAGCGTCCATGCGTCCCTATTCGGATCCAAAAACGGATCGATAATCTCGTCCACACGCCCTTGACCGATCTTGTTTACAGCTAAAGCCGCCAGGTTGACTTCAGTGCTCCGCCTTGACAAGTCAACCACCTTCAAAGCTGTGATTATCTCCACAAGAACAACCCCAAAGCTATACACATCACTCTTATCCGAAAGATGATAGTTTTGATGATACTGTGGGTCCACATAGCCAGGTGTCCCTTGAGGTGCAGTTGAAATGTGTGACTCATCCGTGATCCCAACTCTAGAAAGACCAAAATCCGCAACTTTTGAACTGAATTTGTAATCCAAAAGTATGTTGCTGGATTTGATATCTCTATGATAAATCGGGGGGTTCATGGAAGAATGAAGATAAGCAATCGCGTGTGCTGTTTCAGTCACAATGGTCAACCTTCTCCTCCATGGAAGACCATTTCCTCTTTCCTTTTGTAAATGTTGACAAAGCGTCCCATTTGGCATGAATTCATAAACTAATATTTGTTCGCCTTTTTCGATACAAAACCCTAAAAGGCGAACAAGATTCGGGTGGCTTACAGAAGATAAAAGCTTGATTTCATTCATGACTTGGTCAATTCCATAATTTTCTATGTGTCGGATCTTTTTAATGGCAACCCATTCGTTGCTGTTGAGTTTTCCAGCATAAACTGTGCCATATGCTCCTATACCTAACCATTGTTTCTCAGAGAAACCGTTTGTTGCCTTTTGGATTTCTTTGTAGGGGTAAAATGGTACATTGAAGCTCCCTGTGGCTTCTGAAAGGATGCGCTTTGTACTCATTTGGTTTCTTGTAATAGCTCGCTTTCTAATGCAGTAGCAAATAAGTGCTATAATGGACATTAAAGATGCTCCCGCAACAATCCCTAAAAAAATTAAAGGAACAAGTAAGTAATGTTTGAGTGAGAAAATAGAATGGCAATGTAGTTTTTTGGGCATTTAGTAACAATTGAATTTATAAGTGGTTGAGAGGAAATTACCTCCGATTAGAACAACTACTCTTGTGGTTCCACCACATTCACCAGACATGTATTTTGAAGCATTGCAATTTGAGACTGTTGCAAGAAGGCATCTTTCAGTCTGAGTTATTTAATATATTCATCATAAAACCTAAGGAGATGAAAATTTTCCCTAAAGAAGAAAAAAAAAAGATGGTCGAATATTGACTATACATTCAAACTTAGTGGCTTTTTAGTTGAAGTTTGACATTGGTGTTTATCTCCGAAATAAAATGTTATCCTCTTGTAGTCTTCATACCGTTACATGTCATTATCAACTTCTCTACACAAAGAAAGTATAAAAGTATTTGCCTTTTTTGAAGTTATAATAAACTCAATCTCTTATTTGGGAGCATGGATCACATCTTCATAAGTTATAAATGAAACCCAAAAAATGGAAATGTTAAATGATCAAAACAAATAGCACCTACCAATTGGATGCTTTTTGGTCTATCTTACATAAATACTAGTGTGTGGTTGGAGTTCTATGGTCCATGAAGAAGATAGTTAATTAAAATAAAACTATCAAGATCCACATATTTGGGTATTGCCTAAAGTCAAGGCAATTAGATCATCATCCCCCACATCCAACAAAAAATCAGATGGGTGGACAAGAAAATTAAATTCAGTTGCGTATGGTCTACTCTAATTACACATAATTAATTCCTCCTCATTCAAAAATGGTAGACTAATGTTCTTGTTTCACCATTGTTGGTGTGCTTAGGACAAAATGAACAGAGGTATGGTGCAATTGAATTAACAAGGAATAACGACGAATCAGTGATTCACTTCTTGTTCAATTGATTTTTTTTGCAAAGAAACTGAAACATTTTTCTAGTGGAAAAAAAGCTGGATTTCAGATTATACAGGTATATAAATTGGGTGAAGAGGGAACTAACCTCTCCTGCAACCATCGCCGTTGACGAATCCATCTCCGTCGTATCCCTTATTGCAGTAGCATCGGTACCCCGCCATCGCATTATAAATTGATATGTTCTCACAGACCGCTTGGTGATGGCAATGACAATCCCCGTGCACCCACCACCCCAACTCCGCCGACTGAAACCCCATCGACAACGACGACCTCTGCGTACTGTTTCCGTCCAAAACAACGGTAATCGCCGAGTACAGAACCCGACAATCGGCCATATCTAATTTAGTCAAATCCATAAACTCATTTGTCATAAACTCTACGCGACCAAGGTCATCATCTGAGTAGCAATTTAAGCTGCTATTAGGTAATCTACAACTTGATGAGTTATAGTAACTCATTGAGACCGCGCATTTATTCAAGCCCTCGCTACAGTTTCCCAACAGCAACTCATTTCGCTTTGTGAGGGCATAATTTTGGTTTCTGAGTAGTCGGATTTCTTCAAACCGGCGATCGCATTTAGCCGGCAAATTAATCAGTATATGATCTCTGGTTAGATTCAGAACCGTGTAGTTGCCAATACGAAGTTCTCCGGTATCTGCACAAGTAAGAGGGACTTCACAACCGTCGGAGAATCCGAATGGGAAACGAACTGGGATATCGCGACTACTTCCTTTACAAACGCGATTGCACTTTGCTCCGACAGATGCTGCTGATGATGATGATGCGATTACCAGAATCACAGAAAAGAGGAGAAGGTGAAGAATCATGTTTCAATATTATTGAAATTGAAAAGTCGTACAAGTATTAAGCATAAACGAAGGGAAAGCTCAAAATTGGGCCAGTAATGGACCATTTATTGGAAGAAATTAATGGGGTGCAGTTGATGTTGGTGAGAATTTCCTGCTTATTCAATAAATGATTTCAGTGAAATACTGAGAGCTTGCATCTTGGATTTTGAATTTAAATATGCAAGTAACTTAGCTGATTGATTTACTCTTGATGAGATATTTATAAAATTCAAAATATGACGCCATTGACGAGATTCAATGCTCTTCGAATTGACTAATAAAAGTTGAGGGGGCTTAGAAACTAGAAGCAGATCCGGTTATCCTTTTAGTTTTTGCTCTTCTCCGGCGGAGGCGTTTGTGAGAGACGGAAGGAGGCCGCGATAGAATTAAGGACAACTCTGAACGTTGGCAAGCTGAATCGTGCGACGATGACGATCTTTTCGGGTTACCATTTTAATCCAGTTGAAGTAACAAAATACAAAATAAAATCTAAATTCAATATCTTTTATAATAGTATTATGAGAGAATAGGGATGCAAACGGAGGCGGATATTGGCGGGGACTACAATCTCCATCCCCGTACCCGAATCCAATCCCCACAACCATCTCCGCCTCCGACCCGCCTAATCCCCGACGGATTCGGGTGGAAAAAAACCCATCAGATAGAAAAAACCCGTCGGATACCCGTTATTTTGGCTCAAGACTAATTTAATAGGCTTATGTTTGACTTGTTTGTTAAGCTAACATAAAAAAGCCAATGATCAACTCATGCTTGTATCACAATATTGTTTAAATTACAATAAACTTTAATAAGAACCAAAGGCAATATAAATTCAACGTGAGGGACTCTTAGATTTATAATGAGCTCGCTTGTCAACTAGTTGTGTCACCAAGCAATATGGGACAAAGTAACAATCAATATCATTCTTGCAAGTTCTCTTACAATTATATACTTGTTCGTCTTCGTTTCATTTATCTATTTAGCCTATATGGGACTAGTATCCACCTCTCTTTAACTAAAATTTTTATAAAAAGAAACATATAAGTTGCCGTAAAACAAAAAAGGAAAAAAACTTTTGTATAGAGAAAAAAAAAGTGTCAATTAAAGTATAAGAAATAACCATCCAATCATATGTATCGAAAGACATAATCATACATACTTATAAAGCTGGCATTTTTCCTTAAACCTCATGCATTTGAAACCCTCATAAAAATTTGCAAACACCTCATGCATTTGAAACCTCCTATTTTAATGAATACCACTCAAAAGTCTCATAATAATGATTAACAATTCAAAGGTTTTATAACTTATATAATATATTTAATAAACAATTAATTAATACTTTACTATAAAAATGTCAATCTTTTTGAGACACAAATACAAATCACATTCAAAATTCACAAAGAAAACAAGTTTAAAGTTTTTTGTGTTGGTTTAAGGGCTTTGAACAATTTTTCGAGCCATGTTATTATGTTGAAGTTTTTAATTTGTAAGTTTGTTATATACTAATTCTTTTTTGTATTTTCTTGATTTAAGTATTCTTTTAAGAATATCATTGTATGTTGTGGTTGAAATTTTAATGTAAATTAGATTAGATTCATGTCATACATACTTATAAAGCTAGCATTTTTTCTTAAACCTCATGCATTTGAAACCCTCATAAAAATTTGCAAACACCTCATGCATTTGAAACCTCCTATTTTAATGAATACCACTCAAAAGTCTCTTAATAATGATTAACAATTCAAAGGTTTTATAACTTATATAATATATTTAATAAACAATTAATTAATACTTTACTATAAAAAGGTCAATCTTTTTGAGACACAAATACAAATCACATTCAAAATTCACAAAGAAAACAAGTTTAAAGTTTTTTGTATTGGTTTGAGGGCTTTGAACAATTTTTCGAGCCATGTTATTATGTTGAAGTTTTTAATTTGTAAGTTTGTTATATACTAATTCTTTTTTGTATTTTCTTGATTTAAGTATTCTTTTCGAGCCAAAAACGGATCGAGAATTCGTCTAGTTTAACTATAATTGTATGCACTTTTTTCTCTTATTAACCAACTACTCGTAATTATATTTATTTAAAGTTAACTACAAATTATAGATAAATAATTTATTTTTGAACAGCAACTACAACTAGTTTTTTACTAAATACTCATAATAAATTCAAATTAAACACAAAATAGAGAATACAATCACTTAGTTTGTTTTTTGCATTTATACAAAAATACAACTACAACTAGTTTATTTATTTATTTATTTTTTGAACTACTACAGTTACTTTTTTACAAAATACACATAATAAATTCAAATAAGAAAAGAAGGATGCAATGGGTTGTGAAAAAAAATATGTATAGGAGAGTAAAGTTATCCCATATCGGCAATAAAACAAAAACCAAGAAGATAACACCTTTATAAAAAAAACTCTCAACAGCTTTGCGTGTATATATATATATATATATATATATATATATATATATATATATATATATACATAATCGGGTATTAAACCGGGGATAATGTAATACTCATACCCGCCCCGTCCGCGTTTCGGGTATGAAGTTTAACCTCCATCCCCGCTCCGTTACTCGTCAAGACGGGGAATCCCCGCCCCGTTAGGGTCGGGTCCCCGCCGGTACCCGAATATGCGGGTCTAATTTGCATCCCTATGAGAGAATGAAGAATATAGTTATATAAATTATAAAATATTAAAACATAAACGATCTTATATGACTCTTTCAATAGATATTTTTTCATCGGTCAAAAGATTTGAATATTAGAAATAATATGTTACGAGAATTTTAAATCTTAATATCATATTGTTTCCACTTGTAAGAAGCTATAAATCCAGATTTTTTTTTTTGGAACTGCAGTAAGAAGCTACATTGACCATAAAAAGTTGAATTATTAGTTTATTTATTAAGCATTAGGTGTAAAACTTGTGTATTACACGTATTGATTAAAATATATTATTAAAATATAAATAATAAATATTTTTTAAAATAAAATTTTGAAATAAGAAATGAAGAAACATATTAATTGCAATTTAGTATAATATTTATTACATTTGATACTTTACATATATAAATATAAATATTATGTGACTTTTTAATTTTAAAATTTGAAAAAAACCATAAATTGACATGTGGATATTATTTATTAAAAAAATATCACAAAATGACAAATGTCAAAACTCATTAGAGATTGACATGTGGCAAAATTATCTTCATTTATTATAGTAGTTTTTTGAATCCTTCTAAGATTAAACGGATGACAAGGGTAAGCAAAATGAATAGTGATAAAAACTTTAATTATTGTTGAAACTCTTGGTGTTTATAATTACTTGGCGAATCTTCGCGCGCTGCCCAAGATAAATATGTTCAAATTTAAGATTTATCTATTTTTGTCATTTTTATATTGTTATCATAGACTTTTATAAATACGTCTGTGTGAACGAAATCACTAAACAATAGTTTAATTAAATTTTGAAGATACGATATTTTGTGGAATATATCCGATCGTAAAAAATGACAGATATGCTATATTAATATTTGTTAGAAATCGGGGTATAGAATTGTTTGGATCAATGAGAGTTGTAAAATACTTTAATATTAAACCATTTCGAGAATACACTCGAAAATCTCTAATCAAATACAACTCACTGTTTGCAAGAAGAGAGAATGTAGATGTTATGAAAATTTGTACCCAAAATGATTTTGAAATTTATCATATAACAAGAAACCAACTTCATGTCTTAAAACTGTCATATGGTAGTTAAAGTAATGCAACTTCCTGTCACATAACTTGTCATAAATCAACTTAAAAACGGGTTTAGAACCAGGATCACAAAATCGAGTTTATTCCAAAAAACCGGATTTCTCAGGCATTTTTTATATAGCAACATAACACATAAAAAAAATCACGCTGACCTGGCAGTTCGACCCTAACCAGGGGCTCTGCCCCTTGGACCCCGCCAGGGGCTTCCACCTATTGGATTCCGCCCCTTGGACCCCACTCCTAGGGGCGCTGCCCCCAAACCCCAGTCAGTTCAGGGGCTTCCCCCTAAATAGCAATATACTTTCAACAAATACAAAATTAAACAAATGTGCACTCCGCACCATCCTAATTTTATCAATAATTATCAAAGTGACATTGATCATCAAATTAATCACGTTACACTTAAATAATATTAGTGATATAAATATCACCAACAACATTATGGTGAAGATCATAAAATTAGTATCTTTTATCGAGAATATATGCCTAGGAGTTATTTTATAATAAAGTAAAAAATGACATTCTAAGACAAAAAAAGTTGTTGAATATGTGTCGTTTGTTTATGTTCAATTGCAATAGAAAGTTATATTTGAAGATTGATAAAACTTAAACAATGTTAACGGTATATTCTGATACACCAAACTTTGTATATTGAAAGTTATGATATAAAAATGAGTTAAGTTGTTCAAATTATAAAATGCTAATTAGAAATGAAACGATAATAAAACAAAAATAAACGAATAGTAATTATATGTATGTATGTATGTGTATATATTGTTGGTGATTTTAGTGTCACCTGACATTTGTGTAATTGGAACTGACAAATGAACTAATGGACTTATTGTTTGTACTCTATATTATATATTTGGTGAATATGGAGTGCATGCATATGTAAGATCGAATTATAAGCTGATACGACAGAAAGGTGGGGGTCAAGGGGGTCACGCCCCCTTGCACGGTCCTAGGGGCAGCGCCCCTAGCGGGGTCTAAGGAGCATATCCCATGTCTTCATAAATTTGAGTTAGTTTTTTTTTATGGAAAATTTGAATTCTAGTGGGTGATTATGGTAAGATTGACACATCTTGTCAGTTTTGGTAACCATTGATTATGTCATTAATTTCGAGATTTGCATAACTAATTTAGAAGATTGAACCCTAATTTGTCATGTATATATACGACTCTTCCTTTGAGTTGTACATGTAACACTCGGTTCATGTAAAACATTTTATCAAGTTTATAATTTAGGAAATTTAACCCGGCTCACGACGTGAGGCCGGTTTGAGAGGAAACCCTAATTTTTGGGGGGTTTATTATGTATTTAAAG